TGAATTGCGAGTCGTACAATTGGGCCCTGTGAAAATCCGCAATATTAGAGGGTCTTCAAGGACTCAAACGAAAATCCAGGACTTTCAAGGCCTGGAAAACGAATTTTTCAATTTCAAGGGTTTTCTAGAATTTCTACGAACTGTGCGCACCCTGCCTGGGAATTGAAGGTCAGCGTATTTTCTTCACACTGCCACTCATGTCTCCAAAACCACCCCACCGGGTACTACCGCGACTGAGACCGATGACGTCAAAAAGTTGGCTGCTGCCCCATCACCATACGACCGAGCCATCGCTGCATTGACTCAGCGTTTTGTCTCGAGAGGCAATATTGTCGTCGAACACCATAGCTTCCACTATCGCACCCAGGAGCCCAGCGAGACTACACAGGAGTACATCGCCGTTTTACAGGAGCTTGCTGCTCCATGTTCTTTCTTTGCCACAAACGACTTTCTTCCGCAACCAGTTCGAAGACATCTCATCAGAAAATCTTCAAGAATGTCTGCTTTAATAGGGGTCATAGTTCTCTTTTTTTGCGTGCCGTACTCTTGGCATGGCAACTCCGGCAGGCAGCTCAGCAAGTTTGTGAGCTTGTTCCCGGGCACGTTCAGCAGGTGACTTTGTGAGGTGGTCGTTTTTGAAGAGGTTCAACACAGCCATGCTCGTCTTCCTATTGGTTATCGTCGCCGCAGCCAAGCTTCCGTCGACAGCTGCCCGCCAACGCCGAGCTTCGTTGTCCTCCTGTCTTGCACAAGGTCGGCGCTGTTTTCACTGCGGTTGCATTGGGCACTTCCACTCAGTTTGCAACAGGCAACAGCGTCATTGCACTGCTTCTTTTGGAGAAGTCGACTGCCAGGACTTGTCCAGAAATGCTGGAGGGTTAAACGTTCTTACTGCGGCCGATATTGTATGAGCCGACATTCTCGCTGACGTTTTCATCACCAGCAAGTCGTTTCTTGTTGACTCGTAATTGTCTCTTTCAATTCTGGAAGAGAGCATTTTCAAGCAAAATTTTCTCAACGAGTCGCTCCTTTCCGCTCCACGAGTGAAGCCGCTCGATTAGTCCGAGCGCTGCATTCCCGTACATGGTTGTTTTTTCACAGAAGTCACGTTCAAGAGATGCTCAGCCTATCTCCTGTTCTACACAGTGGCGCAAAGTACATCATTCCTCAGAATGGATGCTATCAAAGTTTTGGACCTGCACACTGAAAGTTCGTCCCTGCATTGCTTTGAGACATCTGCCTTGCAAGCGACACTTGACGCTGCCCAGCTCCCGGGCTTGTGCTAAGTTTCCCCGGCTAACCTCCTTTCGAAGACCTTGTCCAGCGAGTTCGGCTTTCTCTTCGGCACAGGCCTTGGGTTTGTCAAGGGCTTCGTTCATCACATTAAGACTCGACTCAAGGTGCTTTCTGTAGCATCGAAACTTCAGCGCCTTGCACTGACACTCCAACCTCAAGTTTCAAAAGAACTCTATAAATTGGAAAAACTGGATGTCATCGAGCGCATTAATGCCGCGGAGTGGGTGTCCTCCATCGTTGTAGTAAGGAAGGACAGTGGTATTAGACACCAAGTTGACCTTCGAGAACCTAACAAAGCTGTCATCACTGATAGCTTTCCACTTCCTCACACAGAAGAGCACACCCTCGTCAGTGCAACAATTTTCTCTAAGTTGGATCTTGCATTCGCCTATCCCCACCCAAGTTCTGCTGCCACCCGAGAGCCACGACTTGACTGCATTCGTGACTCCCGACGGCCTGTTTTTGTTTTTGTTTTTTCAAGTGCTTCCTTCGTAAAACAAAATGCCACTGTATTCGGCCACACAGAAGAAGAGCACTTGATGAATTTAGCTGCAGTTCTCAATCCCACCAAAGCCACTGGGCTCAAGCTCAACCACAAGTGCACCTTTAAGTGTCAAAGAATTGTCTTTCTTGGGACACAGGGCCACAGCCTAAAGCATTTCACCACTGCCTGAGAAAGCTGCTTTAATACTGCACACAGCTGCTCCTACTGATACTGCTTGCCTGCGTTCATTTCTCGGCTTAGTGGAGTACTACGCCAAGTTTGTTCCCTGTCTTGCTGAAGTTGTGGATCCGATGCATGCTCTGCTCCGCAAGAATAAAGTCATTATGTGAAGTGATGCCGTTGACGCTGATTTCCCGAAGGTCAAGTTCTTGCTGTCATCCAGTAGAGAACTGTAGATGTTTAATGCAGCTCTTCCGGTAGTTGTTTGCACGGATGCATCTGACTGAGGCCTTGGGGCTTTTCTTCAGCAAGTGGATGGGTACCAGCTACGCACAGTCGCCTTTGCATGTCGCACTCTATCCACATCAGAGAGGAAGTATACACTTGAGGAATGGGAAGCACTTGCCTGCGAGCGTTTAGGTTAGGTTAGGTTAGCTTCATGCTTTGTACAGACCACCAAGCCTTGGTTTCCCTGCTGTCATCTCAAAGCTCAGGAAGACATTCTCTTAGCATTTCATGCTGGTCAGAAAGTCTTATGCACTATAATTATACGGTGGAATAACAGGAAGGCTCATAAAATCAAGTTGCAAAGTTGCAAATGCCCATTTTGCAGGAAGATGCCTTGGTCAATGGCAGTGGTGTCTCTCATTGCCCATCTCTGTCTCTCCACAGAGCAGTTCCAGCAGTTCCTGCGTGAGAATGCTACATGGGAACAAGTAAAGGCTTACATCTCATCATCTTGGCCTCCTCAAAGTCCACCTTATGTGAACTACAGCCATTTTTTCCTGTGCTTGAAGAACTGTCTGTGGTGATCGACGACTTGCTTTTGCATGGAGAACGCCTTATCCCACAGGTCATTTTTTCTGCCCACAAAACATTTCCTGGGATAGTTCACACCAAGGCACGACTACGACTCCTGTAAACAAGTGTAAATTTAAGGGCTCATTTTCTTAGACACAACATTAATGAGAAGTAACAGACAGCATACCTGCAAAGTTCAAGGATTCTGAATCTGGGAGATTTCCGCAGCAGGGGGGGGGGGGGGCTGAACTATTTGCTTCTATTTTTTTTCTGCACAAAAAAAAACCCCCAAGGACAAACAAAAAAACATCGCGAAGAACAAAAGGGGTGGGGGTCTCAATCGCAAGCACAAACATCAGCCTTGCGGTTGGCTTAGAGTGGCTGAACACATGAAGGTAGTGTTTCCCACTAAGGCGAGAGTCTCAAAGGATCAACACAACTAGCAGAATACTTCCTTCAAAACAGCTCGTATATGTCTTACTGGGACACATGAACGGACGAGACGGCGCAGCTGGCTGCCACAAAAGCGCGGGTCAAGGCTTTGTTCCCTACTAGATTATTTTGACAGGAATGCCAAAACGTGTCTGGCCCCTTTGTCATCGACAGTCTAGGCTGGTCTTTTGCTGTCGCCGTCACCGCCGTCATTCACCGTATATGTATAGTTATCAATATATATATTAACACTCTAAAAAGGAAAAAAAGATGCCCGCGATTGCAATGCACCCACGTGCGCTTATCTCTGATGCCTACTTTACCCCACGAATTTGGGGGGGGGGGGGGGGGGGGGGGTTGATGCTTGTGCATGCACGCTTATCTGTCGGTGGGGAGAATCGCGCGCCTTCAGCTTGCACTGGAACGATTGCGTTAACAAAGATATCTTCGGTCTATACACAGGCCCCATTTGCAAAAAGCGCGTGCTTTTCGTAGACAGCGAGGTATAACTGGGACACTTGTTAGTTTGTACTCATCTGTACTTCTGATTATGTATCGAGCATCTTTTTTTTTTTTTGTTTAAACAGGGCGTTACGTGTCAAGCGGTAAACGTTGTTAGTTCCCTCTCGTCTTGTGTGTATTGTTTTCATGCGTCATTTGTGCGTGAGCAGTGCGCTGCGCCTTTCGATCTGCTTGCCATTGCCAGAGTGACATTCAAAGTTGTTGCTGTCGCATTCATTGCTTCGCCCTTGCGGCGAAACTGCAACTTTTTTTTTTTATCTACTGCTTTTAGTCTACCACTGCGTGCCCTCGAAGCTCGTAGATCGCTATCGTGCCGCCACGACCGCGATGTTGTGCTCGGCAGTTGCGGCAAATGGTAGTTCCTTTTTCAATCCCCGTGCGCTTAACTCTGCACACGCCTTCAAAACAAGGTCGTTTTATTCCGTCTACGATCACATCTGCCGCGGTTTTGTCCGCAGGGTTTGCGGAAAGCAGCGTTGTTTTGACTGGTTGAGTGTTGGAGGCACGCACACTTTCGGGACTCTGTCAGTTACGTCGTCGTCATTCATGATCGCGTCAAAAGGGACCACGGCTTCGTCAACAGTGGTTGTGGCAACGACAATCACGCACATTGTAAAAGACAGTGCGTGCGCCGGTCGCACGTGTACTTCCGAAGCTTAGAGTACACTGCTGTTGGCCTTTGTTCAACGATTTCTGTACTAAAGTTCGTATCACCTGCCGCGATTATGAAATGGGTTTGGAACATTCGAATTCAGGCCTAATAGACATAGTGAAATTTCGCTGAGGAATTTCACGAATTCGTATCTGCCACGGTTTCGCATCACTGAGATTCTACTGTACGTTTAGATGAACGCCTCTTAAACTCATTCATAATAAAATGGGTAGGGTCAAAAAGCCTGGAGCCGATTGAACTGCTTTTTTGTCAAGGCGGCTGGATCACGCACAAAGATTTCGATTTCCGGGAAATTTTCATGACAACCGTACAAACGAAAGAAACGGTCCAAGTCCGGGAGACTTGGCAAGGTATGGTGACAGTGATGCCAAGGAAGGTATGGGAAAGCTAATGGAAGTGATTGCAATGTACGTGTGAAAAAAAAAAAGTGGCCAAATGGATAGCTTGCCACTGGCAGGGACCGTAACAGCACAGCAAAAAGGGCTGACAGCATCAATAAATGAAATAAAATGGATAATTACTATAACTAACATCCCCTATACATTCCTTCATTACCATTTGTTTTTACAAAAGACAAATGAGCCACTGAATTTTTTCGTTCACAATGCTTACCATCTTGAGCACTTGCTGGGAGAAGTTGTGGTTGATGAAGGTCGCCTCCAGGGCCAAGTTGCGTGGAGCATTGATGCTGTTGCCCTCCTCGTGCGGAGGCTCTGATGCCGTTTCGTTCACCGTCAACAGGTCTGCACGTTCAACATTACGCAAGGTGAATTATTAGGCACAGACATTCTAGCTCTACCAATATACACACTTAAGAGTAGTTATCACCACAAAAGCCAAGCTGCTGCAAATAACGCTGAGTAAACCTGCCCATTGAATAATACGACACACCCTTCCTTGCTATGTTTCATGTTGCCGGCGCATCGCACATGCAATACTGCCTTGCGCGATCCACGCCAGAATGCCTGGCAGCACAAACACGACAGTAGAGTTTATTCTGAATCAAACTCGTCCATCAGCGATAATGCTCAATCGTTTGACACCACATGTATAAATGTCAACGCGGGTTGCCTCAGACCAAATTATCTACAGCCAACACCCTGTTTGTCGCTATTAATGTACAGTGCATTTTCCTATAGTCTGACTCTTTGTTTCTAGGCCACAAGTTCAGCCAAATGAAAATTTTAATCTTGGACACTCCGCCTGCTGCTTTGGTCTACGTCACAACCTGGTGAAGATGCTGCTTCCTTCATCTTCTGAACGCCCCCATCAAACTGTGAACCCAGCTCAAATGCCAAAGAAGACATCGACGCCAACCCAGAGCAGCGAGCAAGCCACAGATAGCAAGGTCCACCACCAGAGTTTGGGCCTCTGCCTGAAAAGAACCAGCAGACCAAGAACCTGACTTCAACTGCAACGACGATGAAAGGTCCTGTGCCGCCTGCACCCATCTTGCTCCGATAACCGAGGAAGCCGCCAACTTTCCACGATTCAGCACTCAACACATGGAAGCCTGACTTGTGACATAGATCCTTGTCGCTGCCTTTAAGTGGAGCAGATAAGCTGCCAACAAGTGTGCTTTGCCTTGGAAGATGCGGCTAGGACATGGTTAACCAAGAATGCATCCTGACGGGACATTTTTCGTACCAGATTCCTGGCCACATTCCTTAGCATCATCTGCAAGGAGAGGCCTGAGGCTCTGCTCGAAACCTGCATCCAGCTTACGAACAAAAACCTCGCACCATTCAAGGAAAAAATGACCAAGCTGTTTCACCATGCATACCCAACCATGGCCGAGAAAAAGAAAGTTCACTTCCTAAAGTGAGGAGTGAAGCAGGAACTCTTTGCAGGACTGATGCGGAATCTGCCAAACAGTGTCAAGAATTAGTGTCGGATGCGACAACAACTCAAAAGACAGTTCAAATGCGCACCTGATGGCACAATCGTCGCCCGACGGCAAAGCTGTATATGACCTTTGCTCCAATGAGCTGCACGAAATAATCCGAGTGATCATGAGGGAGGAACTGCGGAAGCTACTGTACATGCCCTCTGCTCCAATGAGGTGCTTGAAATGATCAGAGTGATCGTGAGGGATGAACTGCGGAAGCTATTGCCCTCACCACAGCCTCAGTTGGACTTTATCGCAGATATTGTTCACGAAAAAACCCAGAAGTCAGTCACTTGGTGCCCCTGAACTGTAACAGTCTCAGCCCCAAGCCATGAACTATGCTGCTGCAGCACGACACTACGCTTCCCCGCCACGTCACGAGGCTGCACCATCGCACTTCTGCAGCCAGGCGCTACCCCCCATTGCCACTGACGCCATACCGTCCAAATGTCAGCCAGTGCAATGCTCCGAGGAACCGGCGCGTGACATGCCTCCAAGCACCGGCTACTCTGCTACCACTGCGAAGAAGCTGGCCACACCTGCCACCGCTGCCAGTACAGACAAATGGGGCCATAAGATTTCTTCGCCGACACACTGCCTTTGCAGCCAGGTAAACGACATCTTGACATAGTTGATTGCATCACCAGAGCTCAGTGGCAAAGACGAACATATCCTTTATTATCACCCAGTGGGGACGAGCAATTCACACAGCAAATCAGCACGCACGGTACAGCGAGCCGCCCGGCAGCGATGGCGTGGGCAGCATAGGCGCCGCGCTGCATGCAACTAACCAGATGATCAGAGTCCACGCGATCGGTCTGTTTCCATGAAACTCTCAGTTGTCACAGTATAGAAGAGCGCATACATATTGCGGAAACCAGATAGTGTCCGTTCTGTCGCTATTTAAATCGCTGCGTCTCCCGGGCTGTTTAACGGTTTTGAAATGTTCCTTGGCATTGCCACTGCGCGCTATAAAATGATTGTGCGAGAGTGCCAACCGAGTATCTTTTCCGCACTTTGGCAAAATGAAAGAAGACTTTCTGGTGGGTACTTCCGGCAATAAATAAACATCTGCTGCGGTACTGTACTTGTTTATTGGTTGCGATGGCACATTTGTACTTGTAAACTACCACTGTCGTTAAGTGCATGATCATGCCTCATTCCCAGCTGGTAAAAACTATTGAGGTTGCTCATACTGGCGCCACCACTTTTGTGGTGAAACCACAGCGATAAAAGTGATGAGACGAGCAAGCCCTACGAATGAACAGAATAAGAAGAATAAGATAGATATGGATGTGGCCACATTCTTTGTGTAGCCAACACTCACTGTTCCTCGGTCGACGATAATAAACGGCTAACCCTTTATTGATGAGTGTAGCCCACATGCAACATAGCAAAAAATATTTTCTTCACATGGAGTTTTGGTTTTCTGCAGCCTTTATGTTTTTGCTAAGCCCTGCCAACAACCATGCTACATAATTGTATGGCGTCCTCTCGCGAAGCAAGTTGAAATTCACAGAAGAGGAGAAAGAAGTTTGGCGCGTGAATGACTGCAGGGCGTGCGTCGACACCACGTCAACCTGGAAACGCCGATTTCGTGATGAGCACTATTTTTTTCTCCCCAACATTGCATAGTTATTCAGAAGAACTCTGTATCTTGCACAATGACGAGTTACATATACAGGAATCGGAATTTGTGCCCGCAGCATGGCGCCGCGTGTTTGTTGCCTGTAGACAACACCAGGCACTATGCCGCGTTTCGCATTTCGCTCAGAAAATGATGTGGTGGCTTTGCTGAGAGTGCGTTGTGTGCCTCCCTGGCATGAACACTTCACGGCATTATGCAAGAACCAAGAACCGGTCACTACTCACTTATTTTGGACCTGGGCGTATTTTACGGCCAAAGAGCCGCAAAGGTGCCTCCCGAATGCAGTGATGACTCTGACCTCGAATCGAGCGACGATGAACCAGAAAATAGTGGTTCAGCGCGGGCATGTAAGTACTTTTTATTGAAATAGCCAGAAGTATTCAGACATTCAAGATGCAAATGCCGTTCTGTCTCGAGATAGGATGCGATAGGGAGAGGGGGGAGACCTGGCGTGTTTGGTTAGTAACGCATTTTTCGCACCTTTGGACGCGAAGGTATCATGTATAACCCTGATTACGCTCTTGTTCCATACAATGAGATCAGGCTGGACATGATCGATCACTTTCCAACGTTCTCCTAAAAGAAAGGTCGCTGCAAATACCCGAAATACACAGGTATTACACGGGTAATGCGCAGAAAGGGCAATGTGCATCTCTGTTTCCCGACAGGAAAAGAGTGCCTCAAGAAATTTCACACTGACCCATAGGGGTCATGCAATGAAGCCTGCTTTAAGCTTCATGTTTAGTGTTGCCCACAGGCAACAAAGCTGTATCTTGGCAACCAAACATAGCAACTTTTTTCTTTGCAAAGTGTGCAATGTATTCCTACTATCTTAACCACAAAAATATAAGAAATAAATGGTTTTTTGAAATATTTAATGTCTCATTAATAAAGGGCTAGATGTGGCGATTTACACTTTCAATCGACAATTATCACGTTAATTGTGCACAGCCCGACACAGCAGGTTAGATTAGCGCCGCACTTCCACCCATGACCAACCTATGGAGGCGCAGTTGCTGTACGATGAAACACCGAAGATCCGCTGCCGACCACACCGCAACGAAATATAAAAAACCAGCCGCAGTCCAAATGGGTTCCCGACATCGAAACTTCGCAGAAAGCCTTTCGCTACAACATGGAAACAGGGGAAAAAACATATATAGCTGTGATTCGATGCCACAACCTCACCTCAACGTGAAAGGATGAACTAGCAAAGCTCAAGGATTTTTTGAATGGCCACAGTGTGACGGCTTTCATCGATACTGGAGCAGACTATTCCGTCATCAGTCGGCTATTTCTCACGAAGTTGAACCAACTTCGTGAGAAATACAGCTTGGGAATGCCCCAAAATGTGGAGAGCTGGAGGTCTCCTAGTAACGCCACCAGGAGTCTGTACAGAGTCTCCATTAACCAGATTTATCCTGCAAGCTTCGTAGTCCTAGTGTTGTTTGAGAGACATAATCCTTGATATGAACTTTTTAGGCCTTCATGGCGCAATCATCGATCTGAGATCAGTGCAAGACAATAACGCTAACCTCAAAAAAGTGCCACCCCTGAACAGACCACCCGGAAAGTACGCCTTAATTCGATGTCATTAGGACCATGAGAAATCTTCGAATTAAATGGGTTTTCAAATTGCTGGAACATTAAAAAGTGGGATGCAAGGAACTTCGAATTATTCCAAGTAATCAGGCAGGGGTGCAACAGCCAAAATAAAATTTGGAGCAATTTCTGGAGCATCAAAATGTTACTCTTGAAGTACTAAAACCCAAACTTTGAGCAGGTTACAGGGGAAAAAGGAATATTTTTATCACGAAAGACCAAATTTGGAGTATTACCAAAAGGAATGCTTACATTTCGAAAAAGAAGATATGTACAAACAATTAAACATCCCCTAAATCGTGCAGAGTGAGTATGAGCATAATACCTCTATTTCAACACAGGAGTATTTTGAACCACCCCAATCAGCAAACAATGATGAAGTCCACATTAGCGTTTGCCACGCCGGTCAAATCCTATGACAGACTGTGAGTATTCAAATGTGAATCTGCCAAGCTGGTGACCTGAGCAGTGGCGGGAAAAAAATGGCACCCAGTTTTCTTTGATTTTCGTAGAGCTGTAAAAAGTGCTCCAAACGATTGCCAGTAACTTTTTTAGATGTCAGCAATCATACCGGTGCTCACAGTTATGCTGCGTATACACGCATG